GCACACAGATAAGGCAGAGGGGAGGAGGTAGGCATTTCTTACGTTCCTCATTGTTTCCTGCTGCTGAGATTGCAGTATTTATTGCAATGTAAATGTATCCTGAAGGTGGGGAGGAATGTTTAATCCACCATGTCCATGTGTCGTCTTGGTTTGTGTTTTTCCCTGTTTGTGGCAAGACTGATGATAATTCTGTTTCTCATCTGCCTATTCAGTATTTTGTTTTCCTCCCGTCGAGTTGTCTTATTTTTTCGATGACTACCTCTCCATCAGTGAGGTTCTGGTGAAGCTCTCTGCAGCTGTCTCATTCCTTTCCAATGATAGTAACAGGAAATAACTCTTTAGCATTGATACCTCAGCAGCAATTTAGGGTAGAGATTCCTGCCCCTGTTTTGTCACAGATTAGGAAGTTGACAACTAGGCCTAACCTTGACTATATTTAGAGGGCTCTTTTCCCCTTAACAAGGATTTCTTATGGTGGTTTCAATTTCATTTGCATAAAAGTATTAAGAGGGAACAAAAAACGATAAAGCTGAGAATCGTGAGAGAGCTTATCTACCTGTCTGTTGGTAAGACTCGAATGAGAGTTTAAAAAAAAAAAAAATCTGTATGCCTGAGTACCATCCTGGATGAATCTAGAAGGTATGGGGTAGAGCCTAACAGTGAGGGTTCCAGTGTACCCATTGGGTTTCCATTACAGGGAAGGGAGAGGAGAGGATTGATAGAGTGTTGCAAAAGTATAGATTATTCTTCATTGAGATAAAGGATTTGGTTTCCCTGCCATGAGTATTAAAAAATTTTAAGTTTTCCCAACCTTGCATCTCTGACCAAATTTCACATAAAACATTGGAAGGAGGCTGGGCACAGTGACTCACGCTTGTAATCCCAGCACTGGGAGGCTAAGGCGGGTGGGTCGCTTGAGGTCAGGAGTTTGAGACCAGCCTGGCCGACATGGTGAAACCTCATCTCTACCAAAAAGATAAAAATAAGCTGGGCGTGGTAGCAGGTGCCTGTAATCCCAGGTACTTGGGAGGCTGAGGCAGGAGAATCACTTAAACCTGGAGAGTGGAGGTTGCAGTGAGCTGAGATCACACCACTGCACTCCAGCCTGGGTGACAGAGTGAGACCCTGTTTCAAAAAATTTTAAAAAATAAAAATTGGAAGGAGAGCTTAAAAAAGATAAGATTTTAAGAGTTCCAAGTTATTTTAGTGTAATTGTCACTTGAGGAAGGCAAATGAGTTTATCATTCTTCTTAAAGACCATCTCTTTTAACTGTTTGACAAAACCATAACTTTGTCATTTTACAAGCAAGAACCTCTTAAGAAGTCCTCAGAACTAGAAGCAGTGTGAACTCTCAGCCTTGGTCCTGGTGGGTTTGCTGACCATGACTGGGCAAGCCATTCTTTTTGCTGCCATCTTCCTCTTCATAAAATGTGGAACATAGGCACTCGCTTTGAGATTTTTAGATAGAAGAAGACATTCTGCACCTGCCCCCTTTTTTAAATCTTTGGGAAAAGATGAGTAATTTTCCCCGCTACTCTGCCTTCCTGTTCAGTAACTCTTACTTTTGCCTGAAGTAATAGCATCTTCTACTTCTCCATCTAGAGATTTTTGTGTGTGTGCCATCAAGGTTAGCAAACCTTATACTTCGCCTAACACTTAAAAAATGCACTCATTATCTTAAACCTAATAAATTCCAGAGTTTATTTTGGTTCTCTTCTGTTGCCCTTCCTAAAAAATGAGTTCAAGATGACAGTATTTTTCTTTACATGTTTGGTTGTGAGTTTTAAAGTTTTATTTAAATAAATGTTGAAGTTCCAGTTTAAAGAAAGCATTGCAGAGGCCCACGGTCTCCTGGGTCCCGGCCGGTGGAGGCGCACCTGTCCATATTCCACATTCGCCGACGGTGCTCCCTGCACTCCACTCAAGGTGAGAGTGCAGATAGTCTTGAAGGGGAATCAGCTTCAGGATGGAAGGACCCAGGAGAGGCCCCGAGGGGGGATTCTGTAAATACAGACTACTGCGAGTGTGCAGAGCTCTGTGCCATGGTACTTCCTTGGGACTCTGACTTGGCTGACAACTTGTGCTGTCAGAGGATTTGTTAGAACTCTGCCCTTTTGTCTGAAGCTCAAAGCCAAGGAGACTTAGCATAGAGCTGACCCCTGCACCAGGCTGGGAGGCTCCAGCCCTTGTAGATGCCACTTACTCTTAAGTGGCCAGAATACCAGAGATGTGGGTTCCATGGTCAGCTGCACACTAAGTGTTTACCTTTACATTTGGATCACCTTGTAGTCTTTAATTATTGGTCCCTGAGGCCAAGTCCACAGCTTGCCTTCTAGTCACTTGCCTGCCCATCAGTGGTGGTGGATGTGTTAGCTGGTAGATTTGGAATCAGTCACCAGTCTTTCTGTACTGTCTTGGTTAGGTCTGTATAAGTAGAGGCAGCTTAGCCCTGAGACCCAGAGAGCTGCTATCCTTTTTCTCCTTGCGGGAGGAAATAAAACTGGGGAACACAATGTCCTTCCATAGCATAGGAAGAAGAAAATAAAAGTCTCCTTTCCACCAGTGTTGACTTGTGTGTGTTGCATGAAACATCTTCCTGTGGGAGTGGTACTGGGTCTCCATTTTCAGCTAGAGTAACCTTTGAAGTGTTTGAGCTAGGTCTCTATAAAAGAATGGATGGGACAGGCTGCCATGAGAGTCATTCTTTCATGACCTTTTCAGTGTCAAAACTGGGGCAGTGTTACTTTAATACTCAACCATTTGCACCATCATCTGTCAGGAGGTACTGTCTATAGCAAAAGGAGAACACGTCCTGTGGGTCCCTAGTTCGGCCTTTGGAAGACATGGCTAATGGCTCAGGGATTCTTACTGCCTCTGCATGGAAAGGCTAGACAACTCCTGTATTTATTATTATTAAGACAGGGTCTTGCCCTGTTGCCCAGGCTGAGTTGCAGTGTTGTGATTACAGCTCACTGCAGCTTGGAATTCCTGGGCTCAAGCAATCCTCCCACCTCTGCCTGAGTAGGTGGGACTACAGGCTGGAGCCACTGCTCCTGGCACCAATTCTGTATATCTCAACACTCATGATTCCCCAAAGAGAAAGAAAAACCATACTTTTATTCCAGCATCCAGTATGCCTTGTGTATACCTGTATACAAGTTTTAAAAAAGTTGTTGGTTTCATCTCATTAAATAATAGTTAAGAGTCCTTGAGGCAGCAGGAGGATGTGGAGAGTGGCACAGGTCAGGGTCAGGTGACCTGAGTTCTATGAAGGGTAGCAGCAATAGCAACTATTATTGGGTGCTTACATGTACCAGGTGCTATGCTAAGTGCTTTACATGTATGACTTCACTTCATGGGGCAAGGATACTCATCAGTAGTCTCATTTTACAAATGAGGAAACCGAGGCTCAAAGAGGGTAAGTCACTTAGCCAAAATGTCCCAGCCAGGATTCTTTTGGGTGAGCTCCCCAAAATCTGTCTTCTAACTCCTACCCTATACTCCCTCCACTGGGAGCTATGCGACTTTGAGCAAGAAGCTTCATCCCATTGGGCCTCGGTTTACCATTGGAAAGGACTTGTGGGCGAGGTTGAATGAGCGCAGCAGATGGCCTGTGGTTATTTAGAGCAGTGCTTCTCTGGTTGTTTGGTATCACAGCGATCATAGAAATACTTGTGTGGCCCGGTGAAATGGAGGCGGAAACTCAGTTTCCACCTTCACAGGGCCTGACTGGAGGGGGCTGAGGACGATGCGGAGGTTTCCTGTATTAAAACAGACTACGCCCCCCTTCCCAAAGCACAACCCCGAGCAAGTGGCCGTGGGTTCCCAAGCGCCTCTCCTCCCAGGGCCATGGGCATGACCACTGAAAAGCGGGTTAGGCCGGGGAGTTCAGAACCCGGAGTGAATCGAAACTACCCCAGGTAGATGGCAGCGAAGAAAATTCTGTTCTTAAGGGAACGCAATCTTCGGACACCAGAAGTTCCCCTATGATGCTATTCTGTGGCAGCCTCGCACTTGAGCCGGATGAGAATTGTGAAAACCCAGGTTGGGCGACAGGACGGCGCGTCTTCCCGGCTCCTTTCCAGAGTTTAGGCGGAGCCATGCAGACTCAGCTGGCCTTTGGGTGTAGGTGGGCAGGCTCGAGGCGCCCTCTCGAGACCCCTTCAACCTCCCGGGGGCAGCAACACCGTGTCGGCTATGAATGGCGTCTCTGGAAAACTCAGGCTTGGAACAGGTAACCCCCCGGTTTCCGCAGGCCAGAAATCAGCCCCCGCAACCGAAGGACGCGCAGGCTGGGAGTGGCGGCGGGGCCGCCAGTGGCGGACCTCCACTGAGGGCGGCGGGACCCGACCGCAGGGGCTGGGCCCTGAGGCCACTATGGGGTGCGCTAGGCTAAGGTCTCCTGGGGGCAGGAGCCAGTGCGATTGTAGCTGGCCAGCAGGCTGGCCGGGCTGAGGACTGGCAGAGACCCGAGACCCCGACCCTTCCCACGCGGACCCCGTGATCCCTCTCCCAGCAGCCGCCCACCTGGGGCCCTGAGCCAATAAGAGCTCGATGTATATATGACTCACCGTGCCTGGGCCAATCAACTTGACGCGCGCTCTTCGCCAGCAGCTCGCGCGATAACCTGGCGTCCTCGGCCTTCACAATAAAAACTCTCCGCCGGAAAACGACCTCTCCCCGCCCACCGCGCCGACACCGGAAGCGAGGCGTGTCTGCGAGATCACTCCGCACTCCGGCGGCGAAGGAAAGAACGGACTCTGATCATAGAAGTCTAGTAAAGTAGTGCACCTGTCTCGTTTCGTGAGGTCGTAAGAACAAACACCTTTTCTCGTCACAGCTACGCGCTGGGCATAAACGGTTGGGGCGTCAAAGGGAGGGAAACGAGCGGGCGGGAGAGATGGTCACGTGGCCGTGGCGGAAGGATGCGTCTGTGCTGCGTCCCCTTAGAGACGAAGTCTATAAAGGGCCGGCGGGCGGCTGCTGCGGCCATTTTTACTTCGTCCGCCCACAAATGTAGTTTGGTTCGCACGTGTGCACCTTCCCTCCTCCCCGCCCGCAGGGTCCACGGCCACCATGGCGTATTAGGGGCAGCAGTGCCTGCGGCAGCATTGGCTTTTGCAGCGGCGGCAGCAGCACCAGGCTCTGCAGCGGCACCCCCCCCCAGCGGCTTAAGCCATGGCGTGAGTACCAGGGCGGGTCGTCCAGCTGTGCTCCCTGGGCCGGCGCAGGTTTTGGGTTGGTGGGGTGCGGCTTGGGGCCGGGGCGGTGCCGCCAAGGAGGAAGCGATTTTACGAGCGCCCGGGACGCGTGGTCTTTGCTTGGGTGTCCCCGAGATGCTCGCGTGCCCGGGATCGGGAAGGCGCATTCGGGTGCCAGGACTGCTTCCACAGGGGCCCTGCCGCCCTCGGACCCCGAGTCCCCCGAGGGTCCCAGGGGTCTCGGCTTTCCCCCCCGCGAAACGTGGCAGGAACCAAGATGGCGGCGGCAGGGCGGCGGCGCGGGCGGGAGTCAAGGGCGGGCGGTGGGCGGGGCGCGGCCGCCCTGGCCGTATTTGGACGAGGGGACGGAGCGCCTTCCTCTTGGTGGCCGGTGGAAGAATCGCCTGGTCTCCGTGAGCGTCCATTTTGTGGAACCTGAGCCGCAGCGGGGAGGGGCGGATGCAACTGCCCCGTTGCCAACTCTATAGATGGCTGGTCTAGAGAAGTCCCGCCTCGTAAGTGGAAAGATGAAATTCTCAGACCAGCTAACCTCTAATGGGAGTTGGCTTCTGATTCCCATTCAGGCTTCTCACGGCATTCAGCAGCAGCGTTGCTGTAACCGACAAAGACATCTTCGAATTAAGCACATTCCTCGATTCCAGCAAAGCACCGCAACATGACCGAAATGAGCTTCCTGAGCAGCGAGGTGTTGGTGGGGGACTTGATGTCCCCCTTCGACCAGTCGGGTTTGGGGGCTGAAGAAAGCCTAGGTCTCTTAGATGACTACCTGGAGGTGGCCAAGCACTTCAAACCTCATGGGTTCTCCAGCGACAAGGCTAAGGCGGGCTCCTCCGAATGGCTGGCTGTGGATGGGTTGGTCAGTCCCTCCAACAACGGCAAGGGTGAGTGGGCCACCACCACATCGTCTGGGTGGGATCTAGGGTTAGGGGCCTGTTATCTTTGTATCTGACTCACTTGGCCCTGTCATTCAAATCTTTTGCAGAGGATGCCTTCTCCGGGACAGATTGGATGTTGGAGAAAATGGATTTGAAGGAGTTCGACTTTGATGCCCTTTTGGGTATAGATGACCTGGAAACCATGCCAGATGACCTTTTGACCACGTTGGATGACACGTGTGATCTCTTTGCCCCCCTAGTCCAGGAGACTAACAAGGAGCCCCCCCAGACGGTGAACCCAATTGGCCATCTCCCAGAAAGTTTAACAAAACCCGAACAGGTTGCCCCCTTCACCTTCTTGCAACCTCTTCCCCTTTCCCCAGGGGTCCTGTCCTCCACTCCAGATCATTCCTTTAGTTTAGAGCTGGGCAGTGAAGTGGATATCACTGAAGGAGATAGGAAACCAGATACCACTGCTTATGTTGCCATGATCCCTCCGTGCATAAAGGAGGAAGACACCCCCTCAGATAATGATAGTGGCATCTGTATGAGCCCGGAGTCCTATCTGGGCTCTCCTCAGCATAGCCCGTCCACCAGGGGCTCTCCAAATAGGAGCCTCCCATCTCCAGGTGTTCTCTGTGGCTCTGCCCGCCCCAAACCTTACGACCCTCCTGGAGAGAAGATGGTAGAAGCAAAAGTAAAGGGTGAGAAACTGGATAAGAAGTTGAAAAAAATGGAGCAAAACAAGACAGCAGCCACTAGGTACCGCCAGAAGAAGAGGGCGGAGCAGGAGGCCCTCACTGGCGAGTGCAAAGAGCTGGAAAAGAAGAATGAGGCTTTAAAAGAGAGGGCGGATTCCCTGGCCAAGGAGATCCAGTACCTGAAAGATTTGATAGAAGAGGTCCGCAAGGCAAGGGGGAAGAAAAGGGTCCCCTAGTTGAGGGTAGTCAGGAGCGTCAGTGTGCTTGTACATAGAGTCTCTGCTGTTGCTGTGTGTTGGAATAAATTATTTTGTAGGGAAAGTACTTGTGTGAATTACTTTTCTGGCAAATTAGCCGAGTGAGGCGCCACCCACCCATCCCAAACTGGTCATAACGTTCCTTGTGAGATCTGGGGAGGAGGGCAGTCCAGGACTGAAGATGGGTGCCCAGAGTGGGATCTGCTCACCCTGCTAGGTGTAAGCCACGATGCCTGATGACTCATGGGGCCATGCAGCCGGGTAGTTGGCCAACTGTAGCAAGTTGGGTCCTTTACCCAGAGCTGAGTTCGCTGGTTGTGTAGGGAGGAGGCTGGAGCTCTCTGGGAGGTTGGGAGGGAGGGACAGCCTGGGCCTCCACCTATTTATTCAAGAGGGCTTCATGCCAACAGCTGTCGCCTGAAACCCTGGATAAGCTTGCACAGTCCTTGAGATAAGCACACAAGATTAGTTTTCACTTGTTAGCCTGAGTTCTGTAGAAGCGTGTTCCTGAAGAAAGAAATGGCTCCTTTTTGGAATTGGTGCTGAAGCAGGACAGGAGCTGAGGGTTGGCCTCCGTTTCTCCTTATGGGGTGGAAGGATGACATCCTGCACAGGTTCTGGCTAGAGCTGGGCACAAAGGCAACAGTTCCTGTGAAGGCTGTTGTGCCTGTTGCTACCTAAACTAGAAGGCCTGGCGTCATGCTAGGATGGATCAGCGCCTAGAAGCCACGCCTCCTCACCGCGGCTTCGGGCTTCTGGCGGGGCGACTTCGCCTTTCCAGGCAGGCGATGTCTTTTGTGTTGCGGATGAGTGCTTGAATGCAAGGATCTACATATCCTGGGTAGGTCTGTCTTTCCTCTTGTGTCCTTCAGGATCACAGTTTTCCTTCTGTGGAAGGTGGTGTAGACTGGGTGTGCCTGGGGAATGGCTGGGAGGACAGTGAGGGTGAGTGCGCCCAGGCACTGCTGTAACTGAGCACAGTACGTGTGTTCACCCCGTCCCCGAAGCACACCCAGGAGGCAGACGCCACATGGGGGGATTTTTTTTTTTTTTTTTGAGACAGGGTCTCTCCCTGTTGACCAGGCTAGAGTGCAATGGTGCAATCTCGGCTCACCACAACCTCCACCTCCTGGATTCAAACGATTCTCATGCCTCAGCCTCCCGAGTAGCTGAGATTACAGGTGCTTGCCACCATGCCCAGCTAATTTTTGTATTTTTAGTAGAGACTGGGTTTCACCATGTTGGCCAGGCTAGTCTCGAACTCCTGACTTCCTGATCCACCCACCTTGGCCTCCCCAAAGTGCTAGGATTACAAGCATGAGCCACCGCGCCTGGCCTTTTTTTTTTTTTTTTTCTTTTTAGAAATGGAGCCTATTACCCAGGCTGGAGTGCAGTGGTGCAATCTTGGCTCACTGCAACCCCTGCCTCCCAGTTTCAAGCGATTCTCCTGCCTCAGCCTCCCGAGTAGCTGGCATTACAGACGACCGCCACCATGCCCAGCTAATTTTTGTATTTTTAGTGGGGATGGGGTTTGTCACGTTGGCCAGGCTGGTCTCGAACTCCTGACCTCAGGTGATCCGCCCATCTCGGCCTCTTAAAGTGCTGGGATTACAAGCGTAACCCACCACGCCCAGCTCACCCAGGAGGATTTTGAGCAAAGAGGTAGAGCTGGAATTTGAACCCAGGACTCGGGCTCCAGTCTGGGCTCTTCATTTTGCCTCTTGAGCTGGAAACAAATGGCCCGTAATGACCTGCATGGTGGGGCCCACATGACCTTTCCGGTGCCCAGTATAGACAGTCACCTGAGAGCCAACTGTTGATGGAATGTATGCAACTGCTTGTGGAGAAGTTGCCCGAGGCACCACTGGAAGTGGGCATCACACATGGGTCTTGGACCTGGTGCTCTTTGAGGTCTTTCCTGCTGAGATTCTAGAATTCTCCAAAGGCCATGGGCCTCCATCCACATCCAGGTACTAAATAGGCGTTAGGGTGCGGCCAACAGCATCAGAGTCATCTAGTGCCAGTGGGGGTCGGCCCTCATATGGCAGACGAGAAACTGAGGCACCAAGAAGGGCAGTGCAGGCTAGTGGTGTGGACCCAGGATGCTGGGGCTGTGCCCTTTCCAGGCCCCTGCAGCTAAGGCCTGCCACACCCAGAAGGCACCAGCTCAGGTCACAGTGGCTTTGCCCTTCTCCTTGACCTCACCTCCTCCCCTCACTGTGCTCCCGGCCTTTCTCCATCTGTCTGCCAAGCTTGGTCCTGCCTCAGAGCCTCACACTTGCTGTTTTTTTGGTAACTTTTTTCTCCATTGAGTTTATCTGTATACAGATTCACTTTCTGTTCTCCATTCCCTAACTACAATATAAGGTCACTCTGTGGCAGCAGGTATTTTGCTATCTTATTCATTCCGGTACTTCCAGGACTAGAGCAGTGCCTGGGAAATAGCAAAAATGACTGTGGCGAAAACGTTCAAAGAGCTCTGATGCTCTAGGCACCTTCCAGTGATGAGCTCAGAGCCCTCCTGAGGCTGTGAGGAGGGTCTTATGACTGCACCCCTCTTACTGATGCAGCTGAGACCCAGACTTAGGCACCTCCTTGGGAAGTCTGGCCTGGGAGTGGACGCTGGCCCACGGGCAGTTGGTATAGGCAGTGATAATGACCTGGACAAACCAGCTGGATTTGGCTAGGCAGATGTCTGTTCCGGAGAGCCCAGCGCAATAAGGGGTATGGGAGGAAGGGGCGGAGATGAGGCTGATGTCCAGCCACCACCCTGCATGTGGCAACTTATGGCCCCTGCCAGGCCTTGGCCAGCCCAGCCTAGGTGACCAGGTCAGAGGTGGAGCTGGGCTTTACCCAGTGACCAGGGGCCGGGGGCTGGGGGATAGGAAGGGACCTCACAGGCGAGAGCGGACAACTCTCAGCATTTTCTCCTGCTTTGTGTCTAGGACAAGGCTGTAGGTTGTGGAGAGCAGAGAACGACCATCTTTTATACAACTAGTCCTGAGTGGGTGCCCGCTCTGCACTACACTGGGTGCTGGCTCCAGCAGTGAGCCAAGTAAACATCCCTGCCCTCATGGAGGTTTGCTTCTGGTAAAGGAGACAGATGGACCCTAAAAAGAAAAAGATGTGACATGTGTCACATTCAGATGTAACACAGCAGCTGGGTCAGGCATGGACATGCTGGGCATGCTCCTTAAGATGGGTGCTCAGGGAGTCACAGGGCTCAGCCCGGCAGGGGACTGGGCTGGGATCAGCAAGGAGAGGCAGCCAAGATGTGGGTGTGAAGAGAGGGGATCCCCCCACGCAAGAGAAAGGATGGAGGGCCCGTTTCCTGAGATCGGGAAAACCAGGGGAAGAGCATGATTTTATTTCAAAGAGGCCAGGTAGAAATAAAAAGTTCCTGGCTTTGGGAGGCCGAGGCGGGTGGATCACGAGGTCAGGAGTTCAAGACCAGCCTGGCCAATATGGTGAAACCCCATCTCTACTAAAAAATTAGCAGGGTGAGGCTGCCTGTGGCAGAGGCCTTTGCCCAGGCTAAGCTCTGAGCCTGCAGCTGGGCCCCAGCAGAGTCCCATGTTGCAGTCCTGGCCCACTCCTGCCTGGCCCCCTTGGCCAAGTCCTCTAGTAGCAAAGAGGGTCAGAGAGTGTGGGGGCTTCAGCAGCCCATCCCACTGTGGAAGACACAGGAAGCCATGGCTGGGGCCCGCCTGTGGGGCATGGGGTAGGTTCCTCAAACTCTGCTTCCCCAAACCACCTGTGACGCAAATGCTTCCGGTGCTTTCACACCCATCCATGCTGTCTAGACTGGGGAAGGCCTCCTGCTTTGTCCTGTCAGCCCTAGGTTGAAGTGACAACTCAGTTTCCTCTTTTTTTGAGACAGGGTCTTGCTCTGTCGCCCAGGCTGAGGTGTAGTAACGCCATCTTGGCTCACTGCAGCCTCCGCCTCTCGGGCTGCAGTAATCCTCCCACCCCAGCCCTCTTCCCCGCAAGCAGCTGGGACCACGAATGCACACCACCATACCCGGCTAATTATTGTATTTTTTTGTAGAGATGGGTTTTGCCATGTTGGCCAGGCTGGTTTTGAACTCCTGACCTCAGGTGATCCACCTGCCTCAGCCTTCCACAGTGCTGGGATTACATGTGTGAGCCACCGCATCTGGCCTCAGTGTCCTCTTATTTGGGTCCTGTTGGTCACCAGGTCCTGGCCATCACGGTCAGCACCTCCTTGGCCCCCCATGGGGACAACCCTCTCTCCTCCAGTGCTGCCCCAGTCACCCCAGCTCCCTGCTGCCTTCCAGACACCTGCACCAGAACTGCTCAGGGGGACAGTTAAAAGGCAGACTCCTCAGTCCTGTCCTTGACTCACTGGACCAGAGTGCCAGCGGTAAACACAAATGACTGTCACCCAGAGGGGGCATGGACAGGCACCCAATAGTGCTACTTGGCATAAGTGTAAGATTTATTGGGAAGCTCGCAAGCGGGGAAGCAGCAGGACCCTGGCTCCCATCCTCAGTGGGGGGCAGTGCCTGTCACGCTGCACTTCTGGGCAATTCTGTAACAGTGGGCGTGTCCTTGATAGAAAGGGGCCCCGGGCCTATGGTCAGCCTGTTCTTCCAGGCGCTAGAGGCTGAACTGGCTTCTTGTTAAGCTGCTTAAAAGATTAAGGGCACGAGTCTCCATGGATATCCGAATTTCTCTGCCCAGTGGGGTCATTACAGTCCAGCAGGCAGGAAGAGGCCCTGGTCTCCAAGGTTTGGGGTCACAGCACACCCCCTCCCCCTCCCCCTGCTGATGGAGGTCACCTGGAGACAGGACCACTGCCGGGAAGATGTGTGGCCACATCATGTCTTTATTTAGGATGGAATAGCAGTTAAAGATCAGGAACAGACCACCCACGGCAGTGGGGGAGCAAATGCTCTTACAAATAATGGGCCCCGAGGCAGTGTCATCAGGGAACCCAGGGAGCCAGATCGTCACTCCCAATCAGACCCAGCCTCAGGGGACTATGCCATGCTCTCTACCAGCAGCAATGGGAGTCACCACACCAAAGGAGCCCTTAGGCTGGGG